AATAAACCCATTATTTGAAAGTTATATTTTTGCTGGGATGTGTTCCTTTTTGGGACAAGCTGATGTTCTCAAAGGGTACTAGTTTTGGAACAAATTTTTTCTCAACAAGTAAAAAAGATGCTAAATTCCGCCGTGCAGACCTTTTTATACCCTCCACCATTTGGAAGAAACTTTAAAAATTTTCAAAACAATTCAGTCGAAAAATACAGCTCAAATGCAAACCGTTACATGGGGGGGCTATACGAATATCAGGAGGAACCGCTATATAGGGGATATATGATACCGTGGATCTATATAGACAATTCTCTTTCAGGGGGTAGTGTACTTATAAGGAACTCCTTTTGTGGATTTTAAGACAACTCCATAGACAAATTTGGCTGAAATCATAAAAATACCGAATATCGGGGGTATTGTTATATGGGCGCTATACGATACCGTGCACCTATTCAGACAATTCTCTTATAGGGGGTAAAGTGCTCAGAAGGAACCCACTGCGTGGATTTTAAGACAATTTTAAGAGAATTTTCCAGGAAAAAAGTTATTCGTGATGGAATTCAAGCGTGATTGTGTGATTTCTTTAAATTTGGCTGGAAAACAACAAGACCAGCATTTAAATGTGAATAAATCATTTGTGTCTCGTACCATCGCTCGTTATCGTGATACTGGTAGCGTAGCCCGAGGTCAAGGAAGTGCACACGAGAAAGCAGCAACGTCAGCAGAAAAAATGCCGAATGTCATCGGGAAAATATTCTGGAGGGTGTATTAAAGCCTTGGGCGCGCAAACATTCTCGCACTCAGCACGCGGCCACCCAAGAATGTTTGTAACCATGAGGTTCCTCGTTTTATTTCCAGCGCACAATGGCCACTAAAGTCTCCGGACTATTACGTCTGGAGTATTTTGGAAAGCAAGGTGGGCACGAAAAAAACCAAAGTTTTGATCACCTCAAGCAAGCGCTTCGCCGGTAATGGGCCAAAATACCGCAGAGCAACATTTGGGCAGCGTGTGACGTCATATGTATAGAACTTGTTTCAAGTCTTAGATCAAGATTTATTTGCCGTCGCTGAGTATTGAATTTTCCATCCTTGCACTCTCTGTGCTATGACCACTGATTACCTGGTAATGGTTAACGTAAGTTGTTTTGACTTGTAAATTTCTAACAAATTATACATTATTTTTAACTAATAATGCTAAACGTCCAAGAACGTCCTTTAAGAAACGGATTCCGAACATATTAATGTGAAAAGGTCATTTGCTCAGAATAAGTAGTTATTTTTTTGCCACAAATAAATAGTTTTTTCTGTAACTCTAATAATAAGCTATATGCCCTTGCTAAAATAATGCGTTTAGAACTCGATTCGTAAAGAGCTTTTTAGTTGGGACAATTTGTTTACATTACCTGGTGGTTGGTTGCCCGGGCTCTACAAATCTAGCCTTTCGCCGACACACCACATTTCAAAGTCCTACCCAATAATAATACGCATTACAAAGCAGCTCTCCAACTCATTATTTAGAGAGAGAGGCATTTCTTACAAAATATGTAGTTAAATTCTGACAACTAAATATTGAAAAATAAGGAGTTTTAAAGCACTTATTTAATCGACTTTAGGTGAAAAATAAGTAGTAATTTTGAGTTAAAATAATGGGTTTGTAACCGGATTTGTAATATGTATTTTTGTTGGGCAGCTTTAGTGGCCTGAGCATTCAAATGAGTTTAGGCATAAATGTTAGTTGAAAAACTTTTTTTACTTTGCATTTTTCTAATGTTGGGGGTAATTAATCCATCATATTTTACTTGAGGAGTATGACGTTAATGAAAACAATTCCAATCAACATTTGGAAAAAAATATCCCTAGAATTTACGAACTTTGATTTACGAAAAAAGCATTGTTCTACATCAAATCAAATTAAAAACATAAAAAAAGAAAAACAAAATTTCAGTGACATTTTTAAAAAGATTTTTTTCTTCGTTTATTATTTTTTTTATTTGTTCGTCTCATATAACAAAAATCAAAAAATGTGATGTTTGTTTCGTTTGTTTTTTTTTTCTGTTAAATAATATAATGGTGTGTATAACAAAATAAAATTAAAAATATTTCTTAATTATAATATAATATTAATAATAATAAAAAAGTTAAGATTAAATTAACAAAATAAAAAAACACTTAAAGTTAATTAATTTTAAATTAAAAATAAACTAAAGAGCTCAGTAATATTTACAGTGATTTAAAAAAACAAAAGAGTGATAGAAAATAATTTAGAAAATTAAAATAATATGTATTTTATTTACAAATCAAAGGAACTAAAAGAAATTTTGAAAAATAGGTTTCCAAAAAAATGGAAATTTAATTAAAAAAATTAAATATTTTTAGTGTGTAACATTAATAATTTAAAAAAAGAGAAATTAAAAAAAGTAGACTATGTGTGTAGTATTTATTAAAGCATTTAACATTAGTTTGTTTGTTTATTTCTTTATAACAAATAGTCTCTCTAATACACAGATATGGAGAAAGGAGTGTGATGGAGGACAACAAGTATGACTTTTCAATTTGTTCCCTACCATATTCTTTCCCCATTGTTTGTTTGTTTGTTGTTCTTATTCTTCTTGTTCTACACGATAGATAATGTCTCTCTAAAATACTAAAACCTATATATTTATGTATATACCTAAAACTACTTACTTACTCAATTACTTAAACTCTAATAATAAAGAGAATAGACTATAGGTTCTGTTTCCGTTTTACTCCTAGTTTAGTTTCTCTGACTAAGTTGTGTATGTGTGTGTTTTAGTTTTTTTCTTCTTGTTGCTTAATTAAAGCTTAGAAAATAAATTCTTCAAAAAAAAAAAAAGAAAAAAAAAAAAAACAATTATAATAATATTGAAAATATCGTTTTTTAAGTTTTCTTTTTTTTTACTTTCTCACTATACAACTAGTTAGTATATATTATTGTATTTATGTAAATATAGATATATTGTATATGTATATATGTCTATAAAATCGATCCATTTACAAAAGAAATCGTGATTAGAGGATGGAGGAGAGAGAGAGTCAAATGATTTAATGTGTGTGAATGGGGGGAGAGGATATATTTTCATATAACGATGAGGTGAACCTGTGAAAACTTATCATTTACGTCTTTACAATTTTTCGTTACTTTTGTTTTTGTTGGTTTTCTTTCGTAATTTTTACAATACAATGAGTTTTTTAGAATTGGGCGGGTATTTAAAGGGGTTGAATTTTGTATTTTTGTAAAAAAATTGTTCATTTATTGGCTAATTGTAATTAAATGATGAAAAAATAACTCGGCTAGGTTGATAGGATTGTATGCTCATTACGTTTCCGACCTTATATACAATTGGCCTTCCAGAGACCTGAATCAGAATTTTTTTGACAGTAGTTTTTGGTCCTTCTAATACTGTAAAAAATTAGCAAACAACCGAATTTAGTTATGAAATCTGAAACTATTTCAAATTATAATTAATTTGATCTTCCAGAGACCTGGATCGACAATTTTTCATCATTTTTCTAAAAGACAGAACTCAATATCAAAATCCTTCGAAAACAAATACATAATTCCTATATCTAAGGAATATCGAAATATGACTGCACAATCTAAAAGACAGGTTCTATTCCTTTTTCTTGGGGTTTAAATCCTCAAACATCCAAAGGTATTCTCTGACCTAAATTTTAAACTGTCCTTTGGCCTTCCAGAGACCGACAATTTAATATTTAAGGGATTTCGAAAATTCGAAAAATACTATGCAAATTTAAATGTAATTAGAATAATTATCAATCTGTTTTCAGGTTAATATGGGCGTTTTGGTCCTTCGATGATAGAAATCAGTTATGAAATCGGAAAACATGGAAGGTTCCAAAAAACCTGACCTGAATTATGACTGACACTTTTTTTCCAGAGATCTGCAACTCCAAAAGATTTTCTTCGAATCGGGCCATGGAGTCAAAATGTTAATCATTAAAAAAACCAAGGTCCTTGAGGGATTATTTTTGAGATAAAAAAGTCTTCGCTTTTTTCTAAAAAAACGACTTTTGTGAATCCTTCAATGATAATTCATTAAGCTGTAGTCCCGTCAGGATCAAAAGTTGTTCTCTGAGTTGAATTATAATTGGTGAGTCTCGTATTTTAAGGATCTGAGGTTGCAAATGTTTACATACTTTTTCAAACGATGGGAGCTGGACAAAAATATTTTGAACTCAGAGCACTTCAGGTATCACCAAATTTCAACAAGTTACCGAAGAGCGAAGAAAACAGATCCTCAAAACTTTATGGGACTTTATGAGAAATTTTCACATTCAACAACAAGTAAAAAAAAATCTTTCTTCAATTGATTTGGGCCTTGGAATCAGAAAATATTAAAATTATTTTAAAAACAAAAATTCTTAATTTTCAAAAAACGTCCTACAAGGACCAAAAAAATCAAATACATAAAGCCTTCCCAATTTTTCTTTTTTTGTCAAAAAAAAAAAAGATATATATATTCATAAGTTACTTAATCATCAATAAATCTTTTCTGAGTTGAATTGCTTTGCGGCTTTCAAGGACTTCGATCTATACATTTTTTCAGGCAAGTTTAGCTCCAAAATCTGAAAAAATACTTAACTTTCAAAAATCTCGAGCCGAGTTATGAATTCACTCAACTTTACAACAATTTACCAAAAAACGAACAAATTTGTTTTTCAAAAAAAACATTTTGGGATTTTCAAACATTTTCACATTTGTGCAACACAAAGCGTTTTTTTGTTTTGTATACATTTCTCTTTTTTTTAAATAATATTAATAAAATATATTAACTTATTTAATAGGCAGGTGTTGTAAAAAAATTATGCGTTTTGTTAATTTTTAGTTTTCATTTTTTTTGTTTGTTTTGAAGGGAAACTGAGAGGGGGCTGATTATAAATTAAAATTTTGAAACCCTTATTTATTATGCTTTGGCTAGTTTGGTTTTAGGCCTCATCGGCACAATGCAATAACCCGCACTTACATCGCAGCCGCTGATCAAAAGATTCTTTAGAACCGAATTTGATTGTTGCGAAAGTTGTTGTTGCTGCCTTTGCTGTTTCTGGTGTTGGTGTTGTTGTTGTTGTTTGTTTTCAGCCATTACAACATTGGAATTTTGTGATGACCATTTATTGGAGTTGGTGTTGTGGTTGTTGGTCATCATTGCCTTTGAATCCTTTGCTTGTTGTTGTTGTTGTTTACCATTTTGGGGCGTCGTTATCAATTGTTGCAACAACTGTGAAGTTGTTGTTGTCGATTCGGCATTAATGCCCTTCATGCGTTTCGAATCCATGCTGGTATTCGACAATTGCGAGTTGCTCAAATGACGTTTATTGCCACCGGTTGTGTGCAAAAAGGCGGTTTTCACAACATTTTGTTGCTGCTGCTGCTGCTGTTGCTGTTGCATCAAAGGCTGACGATTTTCAATAATCCGAATTGTGGCCGTACTAGTCAAGGGGGTCAATTTGATTGTATTCACTTTAGTATTTAGAATTTTTGTATTGCTTTGCGTCGAATTCAGGGAGTTGGGGGAATTGTTTTGGGATTGTTGTTGCGGCTGCTGTGTGGTTGTTGGTATAATCAGATTTTTGTTATTGCTTTGAATTGTTATTAATGGCACTGCATTTAATATAATGTTCTGGTGTTGCTGCTGCTGCTGTTGTTGTTGCTGTTGCAATTGCATTTGTATTTGTTGTTTACAGTCTTCATGTCGCAAATTTTCCAATGTTACGGTTACATGTTGAGGCGTTGTTGTTGCTGTAGTTGTATTGTTGTTGCTATTGTCTGTGGCATTGTTGATTTGCAAGAAATCACTCCAACAATCCAAGTTTGATGCTATTCGTCGAGGTGACACAGAAGGAAAATAATATTTTTGTTATTCTCTTTTCTTTTTTGCTTTTGGAAAATTAAAAAAAAAAACAGGAGTGTGTATTTTTTGCAAGGAAATTTAAGAAAATTTGTTTTTCATTCTTCCGGAATATTCGGCATAAGAAAATCTATTAAATATTCATTCATTTTTATATTTCTTTCTATAAAAAATACAACCAAAAATCACAACTAAACATATTTGTGGCCCTGAACTTGGCTGGAGAGAAAAAAAAAAATAATGAGAAAAACATCAGAAGATAACAAAGAAAAATAAAAACATAAATATTAACACATGCCTAGATACATACTAAATATATACATATATGAAAATATGTATGATATTCCCACCCTACATCATAAATAAAAGCTTTGAGAATTTAAGACAAAAGTGTGTTTTTTTTTTCTAAGAAAAATAAGAATTGGGGAGGATGGGCATTTTCTAACTAAAAAATGACATATTTAGGCCTTATATATTTTCAATGTCAATTATTTTGAAAATATCAAAACATTTTCAATGCCAAATATAGGGTATAAAAAATTTGTAAAAAACTATTTTCGAATTTTTAGAAGATAAAATTAAAAAAAAAAAATGTTAAAATAAATACATAAATTATAGTCTCTAAAAGACTCCCACAAACAAATCCAAATATGTGTGATTTCCAACACTTCAAAAAAAAAAAAGAGATATATGAATTGGAAAGCAAATAAAATGACGAGCCCTTTTTAATTAACATTTTTTATAATAATTAGTGGTAATTATTTGGAAATTTATGAAACAAATTTCAATACCAAATATAGGGTATACAAAATGTTTTAAAAATATTTTTTTGGAAAATAAATTTAAATAAATTCAAAATATATCTAACTATACTCTACAATAGACTCAACCGAGAAAATCCAATTTAAGACAAATCATAACCAGACGGTCTGTTTTTTTCTTCTTCAAAATTTTGTCAAAAATTAAAAAAAAAAAAAAAACAAAAATCTCCCAAAAACATGTGATCGTATAATGTGTTGTGAACTGATAAAGAGAAAAAATCATAAATAACCATCATAAAAAACAACAATCCGAGGTATTCTATAGAATGAAAAATGTGCTAGAGGCTTGGGTATTATCAAGTGGAAAATTGGTCTATTTCGATGGCATAATAAATTGATGGCAAATGACACCCAAATGTGGCAGTTGATCCATAAAATTAATACCTTTTCTTTATTGCGGGGGATTAATTAAAAAAAAATAATTAGAAAAAGGGAAGTCTCAAGAAAAAAAAAAGAACTATGAAATGGAAAATATTTTTCCACTAATTTGAAGACACAAGAAAGTTGTTAAAAAATAACGAGATTTTTCGTGTCGAAAAATGTGTATATATCTTTAACCCTGAACTTCTAAAGCTGATGAAGACCAAAACATTTTTCTCTCTGTTCACAAAGATGATGAATTTATTTTTTGAAAATGTATGGAATAATTGACAAGTTATTTTTTGAAAATAAAATTAAGGGCTTAATAGATTACAAATATTTGACGATAAATTTTGAAACCCTTAACCCTTGATATGTTTTGGCTTATTTGGTTTTAGGCCTCATCGGCACAATGCAATAACCTGCACTTACATTGCAGCCGCTGATCAGAAGATTCTTTAGAACCGAAGTTGATTGTTGATGTTGTTGGTGCTTTTGCTGTTTCTGGTTTTGTTGTTGTTTATTTTATTTTATTTTATTTGGGATTTTATTACACCCTTTAATAAAATTTAGTTCAGGACAAAGAAAGTCTATTCAAAACACATATTTGCTTAGAAGAATATCTAAAATCGCTTCTTCCGAAAAATGTTTTCCAAATTTAGTATTCATTTCAGAAAGACTATCTAACTATTATATATTATATTATTCTTCAAAAGTTTAATTACTTCTTAATAGATAATCTTCTCTCTTGACTCTCGTGACATTTTCTGTCTAAAATCCGTGTAAGATTATGAATTTAGGACTTGAGAATTCTTAACACAAATACATGTCACTACCCAAACCCTTTCCAAATCTTTCTTGAATACATTCAACATTATATGAGAAAGGTTATTTTAGGCACTTTTCAGGATAGAGGGAGAAACAAAACTAAAAATCTTTGAATAAACCCTATACCTAAAGGGTGAGATGAAAAAACTGCAACCAATTTCAGACTTCTGTCATTTATAAGCCACTCGTCCGACAGCTGTTAAAATTATTCCAGTGACATCTCATTATATTGTCTACAAGCTTACGAAATCATTTTGGTGAGAGTTTTCCAGAAAAAGTTATTCGTGATGGAATTCAAGCGTGATAGTGTGGTTTCTATATATTTGGTTGGAAAACTAGAAGTGGTCGTTAGAGCACTCCAGCATTTAAATGTGAATAAATCTTTTGTGTCTCGTAGCATCGCTCGCTACATTGATACTGGTGGGAAGAAAACAATGGAAATGAAAATGTGCACCTTCGGTTGGCCACCAGAACTCAAGCCCCGGCCATGGTGATGGTGTGGGCCGTCATAACAGCCGATGATCACTCTCCGCTCGTATTAATCGAATGTGGCATCAGAATAAATGCCGAATATTATTGCGAAAATATTCTGGAGGGTGTATTAAAGCCTTGGGCACGCAAACATTTAGGCCGCAAACCTTGGACATTCCAAAAGGACTCAGCACCATCGCACGCAGCACGTGCCACCCAAGAAGGGATACAAAATAAGTTTCCTTGCTTCATTTCCAGGGCACAATGACCACCAAAATCTCCGGATAGCAATCCGTTGGACTATTGTGTCTGGAGTATTTTGGAAAGCAAGGTTGGCATTAAAAAATACCAAAGTATTGATCACCTCAAGCAAACGCTTCGCCGGGACTAGGCCAAAATACTGCAGAGCAACATTAGGGTAGCGTGTGACGGTTTCATTGGCCTTTTGAGGGCCATAATTCGTGCTAAACAAATCTAAACTTATTTTAAAATTTGATGCTATTTCCGATATTTTCTGCTTTCATTCAATAAAATTAAAAAAAATGTTAAAATTATGGCTTTTGACTTTGTTGCGGTTTTTTTATCTCACCCTGTAGTATATTTTGACTTGATACAATCCTTTTTGAAATAGAGTTTTTAACCATATTTTGATAAGAGGACCAAAAAACTCCAATTGAGACTCTGTTAAAAGTGAAAATTCTCGACCAAAATAATCGCCGTATTGTCATCTGAAATAGTGCCGAGGACATTATATACATAAAATGAACGGATTCCAAAGAATCTTAATAAGAACATTTTCCAAAAATACGAAAGAGGGCGACGAGCTCGCGGTTACTTTGCGATGTAAACACTTAAAACCCCGATGAGCGTAGGCTCTATTTTTTGGCTCTACTTTCACAAGCAACTGAGATGTTCCTGTAATTAATATATGTATGTAGTTAAGGACCTTTTCTGAAGGAGTATATCATGTCATGTTTTGTACCATGAATTTTAAATTATTTTATTATATATTATTTATGTACGGAGGTCAACATATTCTCTTAAACACTTATTCCCTATTACTGTTAATGCCACAATTTCCATTCTTCTAATGGCAATCACGCTCTAGCGCCGTTAATAACCCATATGACAGACATGCCGCCACTTGGTATGATAGGCCCACTTCAAAAATATCAACCACATTCATTTATGTCAAATCGAATAGATGTCACATGTGATGAATGTGTCAGCAGAACTCATCACAAGTGTCATTCAAATGGCAGGCGTTGTTCCGTTTGTACTTCCTCGTACAAATATTTTGTTTTATTTTCTTTGGACATTTTAAAAGGTTTGACGCGACTTTTTTTGCCTTTGTCGGCTGAAATCTAAGACTTTAAAATGGATGACAGTTAGTTTAATTAACCATTAATGATTTGTTTTGTTTTTGTGAATATTGTTTCAAAAAAAATACCTACACATTAACATAACAATGGCAGTGGTTGTGGAGGGGTCATTTCCTCCTATCCCCAATATGACAAGTGGAAATTGTCTGGCTCGTGTCTATTGAGGTGATTTGTTGAGTATAGAAATGATGGGAAGTGGGAGGAGGCAATGTTCTTCGATGGGAAAAATAAGTATTTTGTTTAATTTTTTGGAAACAAAAAATGCTAAAAACATGTGGAAGTAATATTTAATTAAGAATTTTTAAAGGAAATTATAGAGTTATCGGAAATTATAGAGTTAAAAATTTAAGAGCTTCATAAATAAAAATCACTATGTGAGATTCAAATACTGAACAATTTACGCTAGGATTTATCATTTATTTATCCCAGTGGGCCCCAAAACACTGCACCAACCTCTGTTTTTATTTAACCATAATAGACTTCTCCTTACGTAGTAAAGAGTGTTCTGTTTTAAATTCTGTATTCAAAATCTATTTTTAGCAATGAATTTTCACAGCGAAAAAAAAAAATAGAACTGAAATTAAAATTTTCTTGTCTTCCACTCTACGCTGATTTTGAAATAAAACTGTCAGCTTATGTCTCCTGGATTCTTTGTAGGCGATTGTACATTAGTGCCTACGCCGAAATGCCTAATGATGGATATTTTGGGATGTACTCTTCTTTGGCATCATCAACGTCATCATCGTCATCCTCACACACTAGGCCTACCTACCAGCAGAAAACATCAGCTACACAACACAGTAGTGATTAGCCAACGAGGCATGAATCTAAAGTGGCATCAAGGAGGGGTCCACAAAAAAAGGAGAGAGAGAGAGAAGGAGAAGGGGATATGTAGCACACACTATTAAGTGACAGTATCAATTTTTCGTTGTTGCTGTTGTTAAAAGAGTCACTCAGTCACTGGTTGTAATTTTTCCAGGGAGGTTGCCTGAAAGGAGTTTTTCGTGCGTGTGTGTCTGTTGGTTAGGCCATGGAGTTTTGAGAAAAATAAAGGGAAAAATTACACGTGTTGTAATTTACTGGAAATTATGGAGTAGGCATGGGAATCTACATACCCACCACACACACACACACTTGCTTGCAAATGAATACATTAAAACACTTAAAAATTTCAAGTGACAACCAAGTGCCAACCGACACCAGTTTGGGGGGCAAAAGTGTTGTTGACATTAAGTGCCCAGCTCAGTGGCACTACCCGGCCTCCCTATTCCACAACATTATACACCGGCACCAAGTAACACATTTTATGACATTTTGTGTTTCTGTGTGTGTGTGTGTGTGTGTGGGAGTGGTAAACATGTAAATTAGTTGGCACATCAAAGAACAAGGAAATGTTGTAAGGCTTTATTAAATTCTACAAAATGAAACAATAAAATAAATAAAATTTAATTTCTAAAATGTAATTTAAAAATAAATGTTTGGATTTTTGGAAAAAAAAAAGAAAAGTGGGAAAAATGAAAATTAAAAAGAGAAAGACTTTTCTTGGTGTCGTTGACTTCTTGTGGGGAAATGAGTTCACAAAAAAAAATATCTCGACAAGGGAAAGCTTGGAGCCAATTTTTTTGGTGAACAAAAATTATTCAAGGTTTTTCGAACAAACGTTATAATTTTTAATTATTTTATCATTGTTAATAAAAAAAGTTAACTGACTGAGTGGCTGAATAATTGACTCATTGACGCTTGGGAGAATCTATTGAAGCTAGAACCTTTTAAATTTGCCAAGGGGGTTACTGAGGGTGTGAGGAGGTAAGATATGCAGGATTCCTGGAAATTCTTACAAAAAAGTTACAATATTTTGCAACCTTATAAATGAACTATCGTATTTTATACGCGCAGAAAGCACGGCATTAAAATTGAGGTAAGAGCTACAATTTAAAAATTTCACACGATACAACTTCTTGTGTGAAGTGAAAGGCTGGGTTCTTGAAAATTAACTTTTTAGCGGTACAAAAAAGTGCTTTAAAGTACAAAATGGTACATTCATGGTATTGAAAAAAGAGAAGGTGCCAGATTTTTGAAATTTGGCATGAGGTTCACTATCCAAAAGCACTTAATTCTTAAAAATATCTAACATTATGATTTGGCTCCAGAATGATGGTTCAGTCGTTCAGAGTTGGTGTAACTACCAACACATCTACATTTTTTGAAATTTTCACATTAAGATTGCTTGATTTCATGAATAATTCTTAATTTCATGTGCTTTTTTTCAGTTCTTAAAAAAAATACCCTATACAAATAGACGTACTTATGTAGCAAAATCGACTTTGAATGGTATGCTAATTAAGAACGAAAGCTACATGGGGTTTCAGAAAAATATTTTGAAATTAATATCCTCATCCTATGGTGTAGGGTTTTGTTTTTAAAACGATCCTTACAATACCGTTAAAATGAAATTTGAATTTTCAAACAAATAAATAACCAAAAAAAAAAAAATAAATAAATAAATAAATAAAGACAAAAACAAGTAAAAAAGCTGTTAATTTCGGACGGATCGAACTTTTAATACCCTCCACCATTTGGAAGGAACTTGAAAAATTTCAAAAAAAAAAAAAAAAAAAAAAAAAATCCGAAAACTACAACTTAAATGAAAACCGTTATATGGAGGATATACCAAGACATGGACCTGCATACAAAAATGCTTGTCATAGGCTGTAGTACCCATTACGACCTTAAATACGAAATTCCGGTAAATAATATCGCTAAAATTATGAAAATACCGAATATCGGGAGGTACCGTTATATGGGGGCTATACGAAGACATGGATCTGCATACGAAATTTTTTATCATATGCTGTAGTACCCATTGCGAACTTGAAATACGAAATTTGAAACGATTCCGGTGAATAATGTTGCTGAAATCATGAAAATACCGAATATCGGGAGGTACCGTTATATGAGGGCTATACGAAGACATGGATCTGCATACGAAATTTTTTGTCATATGCTGTAGTACCCATTGCGAACTTGAAATACGAAATTTGAAACGATTCCGGTGAATAATGTTGCTGAAATCATGAAAATACCGAATATTGGGAGGTACCGTTATACGGGGGCTATACGAAAACATGGACCGAAATGGCCCATTTACGAACTTAACCTGCCCACTGGTGCATGCATGCAAAATGTTAGCCTTCTATCTCAATTCCTTCGAAAGGTGGTAGCGTGATTACAACAGAGAGACGGACATCGCTAGATCGTGTTAGAATCTTACGCTGATCCAGAATATATATACTTTGTAGGGTCTATTATGATAATTTCGAGGAGTTACAAACGGAATGACAAAGCGCCACCATTCTATGGAGGGTATACAATTTTTTGGGGGTTATTTATTTAATTTTTCGAAAAGGTCTAACCGAACCTAATATTGTTGTTTAAAAATAAGATACATTTTTCATCAATTTTGAAATTTTTGCATCAATTTCGAAAATCATTATAATAATCATTCATATTTCTTTAAATTATTTTGAAAACATATTTTCTTCAAAAAATAGTTTTTTTTTCGTATTTTGTAAAGCTATCACTAAACAAATACCACCCTTTCATGGTACCAATAAATTTAGTTTAGTGCGCACTGTTGATTAGGTCAGTGAACTGCGTCATTCATAATAACAAAATACTTAATTCCACTTGGGTGGTTATCAATTATTCGATTCACACCACTTTCATATTGCAATCATTCTGCTAACATACTAGAATTTTATAATTGCATCCTATCTTCACGTGATAATATTTCATAATTTTTTTTCTAAATTATTTAAAATCAAAAATCTGATAAGATATAAGAAGTCGGTACTTGAAGTGTGAAACATAATAAGAAAAAATGCTACATGATATTAATTCGTGAGTGCATTTATCACTGTTAACTAATTTATAATAAAATTTTGAATGACAAGTACAACATGGCATGATGCCATGGCTCCTATATAGGCATAATAAGAGGTGATAAAAATCTAGCGATAACACTATGTATTGAATTATGACAATATAATTTATGAAATGAAGAGGTACCCCCTCCATAAATCCATAAATAAAAAAATATGAAATTTCAACGACTCTACTTGCTATTTTTAATTGTATTCTTTTAATTATAATAAATAAAAGAACAAAATCTCAAACATTGAAAAATCTTTTTTTTTTAAATGGAACAAATTTTCTTAAATTTCCATTTCAAGATTCTCTCTTTTGATAATCATTTGTTTTGCAAAAAATACACACACACACGTTCATATAATCAACAACAAACCGCATGTTTCTTAATGCTGTTGTTGTTGTTGTTGTTACTGTTCCGGCCAAATTACTTACAATTCTTGTTGTAGACACTGTCGAACGAGTCTTCAATGGAATCACACAAACTGGGCGTAAGTGAAACCGGTGTTCCATTATTGGCCGAGCCATCGAATTTCTCTTTTTTACAACTGATGTTTAGACCACTCAATAACAATTGTTGTTGTTGGCGTTGCTGTTGCTGCAATTGATCTTGCAATTGTTGCAAACATTGCTGCTGGAATTCATGTTGCTGTTGTTGTTGCTGGGTGAGATTATTGGCAGACGACGAGGCTGAGGCCACACTGACATTATCCAAATCGTCGGTTAACATAACACCACTGTCAGTACTGCCAATACTACCACCACCTCCACCATTACTCACCAACACACCGGCGGCACCACCACAATTACCAATTGACGAATTTGTTGAATTATCCTGCAGCAAGGATAACGATCCTGAACCGGTACCACAAAGTAGGGCAGCCAATTCACTGGAATCTGATGTTAAAAATACCTGAGAATTATTTTGTTGGATTTGTTGTTGTTGTTGCTGCTGATGCTGTTGCTGTTGCATGGGCGACGATGGCGACATTGAGGATACTGTTGAGGCTGGCGATGAGCATAATGAGCTTGAATATTGCTGTTGTTGTTGCTGCGGCTGTGTAAATTGCTGCTGTTGATAATTGATGTTTTGATTAATCGATGATTGCAATGCCTGCAAGTTGTCCGTCTCTTTTGTCTGTAGCGAAAAATCATCAGCATTGAAGGCATTACCACTGCTCCACATGAAATCGTCCGTGGTCAGTAGCGGCAAATCGTCCTGTTCATTCATGGGAATATAGGGGGCACGCATTGTCAAGTCATCCATGTCGTCAACGTTCATGGTGTAATAGGAGAAGTCATCTTCTTGGCTCAGCGAATTGGGGCTGCACAGCGAGGGTAGACTACTGCCATCGGGACTCTGTGTGGGGTGTAAAAAAGAAAAGAGAGAGAGAGAGAGAGAAAAAAACATAAATTAAGTCAAGTGTGTTAAACAGATGAGGTAAGTTTTTTATATTTTATATGGAAATGAGGTGCAGTAGGGAATTCGGAATTGTCATAAGCTACACTAAGTTATGGGGGAATTGGTGTCAAGTCGAAAAATTAATATCAGGCAAGTCCTTGGAGACAGATATTTTTCAGAAAATTTACAGGTCTAATGGATTTTTTTTTTTGAGGAGAGGAAATGGGCTTCTCCAAAACCGAATTAAAGGGAAATTTAATTGAATGCTTTGTTACGATTTTTGGAATATTTCTTAAGGGTAACCTAGTGCTTCTACAACTGAGCTTTTATAACACTTCTAGTCGTGGATTTTTAAGAATATTAATAAATAAGTCTTTATGGATTTTAAGACCTTAAAAGCTTTTTATAGAAAGCCTTTGAGTAATTTTTGTTTTGATAATACTTTCTGTTCAGTATCAGGGATATTTTGTAGATTTATAAAATTCTCCGAATTCCATTCTGGGATTTTTCGGAATATTCTTAAGACTTCTAATCGTGGATTTTTGAAAATATTATTAAATATATAATTTTCAAGACCTTTTAAATTTTTGTTTTGAGAAACTTTGTAAGGGATTGCTTTAATGATTATCGTATCTGGATATTAAAAATCATGGATTAAAAACAAAAAAAATAAATTTTGGGGGACTATCTGAGCTCCAATCAAGAATTTGTTTCAAGATATTTTTAAGAACATTTTAGCTATAAACCGTAAAATAAGTCAAAACTTTTTTGATGCTTGTTTTGAGGAATAACAGAGCTCCCATCGGGAATGTAAACTTCTCATAGAAGGAGTAGAAGAACTTTTCACAGGTGGACCAGAAGAATATTTAATAGTAGGACCATAAGGATTTCGCATAGAAGGACCTGAAAGCATTAGATTTTGAGAATATTATTCAAAAACAGCTTAAGACAGGGTCTCAATTTTGCACTTTCGAAGGTCACATATTTGGATTTTGTATTAAATTGGATTGAAGAAATTGGAATAGCTCTAATGGAGATTCCAAAATATTTTTTAAACAGCGTTGAAGAAAATTTCCTTTAAAAAACAGACGGATTTGAACCTCAAAAAAAAAAAAAATATTTAAATATTCGATGGGCCTTCAAAGTAAGTTATATAAAATATGAGGCGGTCGTTGAAAATATGTACCCTTTGAAAACTACGAACACAGCTCGAACCATCAAAAAAAAAAAAAAAAAAAAAAAAAAAATATTTAAATACCCAATGGACCTTCAAAAGTTATTCTTTGAAAATCTAGGGTGGTCCTTGAAAAAAACCTTCTTTTCATATTGACGGGTTGAGCTCTGGCTCCCTGGCCCAATGGTTTTTGAAAATATATTCTTAAGAAAATATCCTTTAAAAATCCACAAGTTTAGCTATTATGGTCCATCGCCGATAGTCCTTAAAACAAACACCTTTAAAAATCCAAATCGAAAGTGGACCTTGTAAAATATGTGGCCCATCAAAAAAATATTTGAAAGGTTAATAATTCTAGGACCTTAGCTATTAACTTTCTAGGGAGTTTGTAAGGACTTTCCTAACTTTCCTGCTGAAAATTGATTTTCATTCTTTTTTTTTTTTTTGAAGACTGCTGTTTTTTAAACGCGTTCAGAACTAATTTCGAAACTGAAATTCTGTCCAATAAAGTTAGAAACAAGAGAGTGACAGAAGAAGACAAAAATTTACCTTTGATGAAGCACTTGGTGATGATAATAAATGCTGCGAACAAAGCGTATCATTCGATTCATCGCGATTATTATTTATAAATGGATCGATATTTGTGCTATTTGTTGTATTATTGGTTACTGGTGAATTGCTGTTGTTGTTGTTGTGGTGGTGGTTGTGGTTGCTGTTGCTGTTGCTATTACCGTTTGTTATGCTACTATTTGTCATTGTTAGGGTTGGCGATTGCCGATGATGCTGCTGCTGATGCTGTTGTTGGTGGTGTTGGCTATGCGTTGTTGCAGCGACGGCTGTTCCATTGTGATTACTGAAGGGCGATGGACAGGAGCCAGATGAACTATTGCAGTTGTTGTTGCTGTGATCTGTATTTGATGACGCTGAATTGGATGTATCCAAAGAACTGATATCATCGGACAGGAGGCCACCATAAGTGCCCATTAGACCGACAAGCATTTCACTGAACAATGGTGTCGTCTCATCGAGTGGCAGACAAGCATCGACGGCATTTGGGGCCACCAAATGGGCTGTTAGATCATCAGGTTCTTCTTTAAGCACTGTAAAAAGGGAAAGACACAAATATATTAGAAAAATGTTGCAAATAAAATGAAACAGCAAAAGAAAATAAGCCAAAAGGTGTTAAAAGTCACAGAATGTTAAGTGACAGAACCTAGTCTAGTTTTTCAGAAATTTTCACCTTGTAAGGCTGTAAATTTTCGAACTGGAGAATAGCGTTATTAACTCATTGTCTTTAACATATGTTTACAGTTTTTTTTGTTATTTTGGTTTTTTTCTCTTCCCCACTGATTCTCATAAGCATCCATACCGTCATACTATGCATATTTTGTTTGTTGTCTGTTTAATTGACTGATTTCAATTGAAACTAATTGACAATTGCACGAATTAAATGATTTATGTCAGTTTTATTGACTGTATTCCGAGCTAGCCAGACGAAGAGCGAGAAGAGAGAAGCAGAGGCACATCAGAAAAGCACGCGTAACTTGACGTATGATAAACAAACAAAAACAATAGCCGAAATAAATTAGTTTTGTCTAGTTTTGTGTTTTTCCATTCAAAAAATTGGGCAACAATGAAAAAAGTATAAACAAAAAAATTAACTGATTTGGAAAAAAAGAAAAATAGAAAGATATGAAGTTTTCAAGAACCTCAAACTTAAGGTTTTCTCAGAGAATCTCAGAACTTCTTCTCAGAGGAGATCCAAATTTCTTGTAAGGGATGGACTACAAGGACTTCTCGTGAAGGTCTTTTCAAAGAAGACCAAAAAAGGGCCAGAGTACCAAAAAAGGCCATATAAGACCTGGGTGCATATTCATAGAGAACTTGAGAGGCTTTTCATAGAAGACCTGAGTGGCTTATCTTAGAAGACCTGAGTGGCTTCTCATAGAAGACCTGAGTTGCTTCTCATAGAAGGCCTGATGGCCTTCTCCAAGAAGATCTGAGGGGCTTCTCCAAGAAGACCTGAGTGGCTTCTCCACTAAGATCTGAGGGGCTTTTTATAGAAGACCTGAGGAGCTTCTCTACGAAGACCTGAGGGGCTTTTTATAGAAGACCTGAGGAGCTTTTCATAGAAGACCTGAGAATCTACTCATAGAAAACCTGAGGAGCTTCTCTTAGAACACCTGAGAGGAATTCTTAAAGGAGATTTTCTTCAAGCACTACTCAGTATTTTTTTCAAAAAATATATATTTTATAGGATCATCCTCAGAGCTATACTCGTAGATTTTTAAAGGATATTTTTCAAAGACTCTGTCCCCTGTTTTTGTAATCTTTGTATATTGAAGCACCATCTAGTAATTTTTACACATATATATTTAGGACTTTCAGGGATATTCTTTGAAGGGATATAAGAGCTATATTCGTGGATTATTAAAGGATATCTTCTTCAAGCACTCAGTAATACTACTCAGTAATGAAGCACCGTCTAGTAATTTTAACGAATATTTTTAGGACTTTCAGGGATATTCTTTGAAGGAATATAAGAGCTATACTACACTTGTAAATTGTTAAGCTTTTTAAGAACCTGTATGGTTTTCTAGGGTATTCCAGACGATATTCTAGACGGTCCTTCAATGTACAAAGATTAGGAAAACAGGGTAGTTTTTGAAAAAAAAAACATCCTTTAAAAATCCTAGATGGTCTATCATTTGATACCCTATTTTCCTAATCCTTGTACATTGAAGGACCCTCTAGAATATTTTTAGAAGCATATTTTTAGGAGGACTTTCAGCGATATTCTTTGAAGGAAATGTGTAAAGAATATTTTTGAAGGACTATTAGAGCTTTATCCGTGAATTTCTAAAGAATAGACCAAATGATAGACTATCTAGGATTTTTAAAGGATTTTTTTTTCAAAAACTACCCTGTTTTCCTAATCCTTGAACATTGAAGGACCGTCTAGAATATTTTTAGGAGCATATTTTTAGGAGGACTTTCAGCGATATTCTTTGAAGGAAATGTGTATTTTGTATTTTTTGAAGGACTATTAGAGCTTTATACGTGAATTTCTAAAGAATATTTTTTATCAAGGACTATCCCGGAATTTTTAAAGAATATACTTTTAGGGATCATTGGAGATTTTAAAGGACCTGAAGTCTGAAGGGTCTTCAGGGGTTACCATCAAATTTTAAGATTTTAAGAAATTTTAAAAATATTTGTTGAAGGATCCTCAGAGCTATGCCCGTGGATTTTTAAAGGATATTTTTTTCAAGGACTATGAATAATATAGTTATTAATTTTTAAGAATTGTCGAAGCTATAGATATTTTAATGACTATCATTTGTTTAAGGACTAATCATGTATTTTTATGACCACTTCTAAAGACTATCGCAGCTTGATTTATGGATTATTTTAGATCACCGTTCTAGAGACAATTACAGCTTCAATCATCTTTTAATCTATACCTTCAATCCATCTATCTATTTCGATTTTTTGGCCTTTTTCGCATGAACTGCTTTTTAAAGCGTATTGCTTTTTGTTTTGAACATAAACCCATACAAATTTTCTGGCAAATTAAACATGTGTTGTTGCCAATATCGCCACTTTAAATTTGACTTGATTTTTTTCCGTAAATAATTTTTCAAACCCCCCCAAAACTTTCGAAAAAAAAACCTACACACTCTCCGTGCTGTTGTTCCCATTACTCAATGGACATTTACCCCAAGCGATAAAAAAATAGATTGAATAGAACAGAAAATTAAATTTAGTTTTGACTGCAGTTAAAAATATACACGCGTTGCGTGAGTGTTTTGCTTGTGATTTGGTTGCCTTAAATCTGGTCGTGTCGTTCTTCTATATGTGAATTTCTAAAAAAAAATATCACCCATCCATCGGAATCAACAGCTTGCATAGCTGCTGTTGACTGCTGGCTGGGCGATGATGATGTTGCTACTTTGTGTTGCGGATAAACAAGATACACGTGCCAATTGTTTGAATAAATGGCAAACATACAGACACAAACCTATACACAAATTGTATGTATGTATGTAGGATTGGATGCTTTGAACAAAGCAAAAAAGTTAATGATCACAAAAAAAAAAACAATAATAAAGGAATATGGACGAGGCCGGGGGAATGGGTGGCTGAGCTACAAAAAAAAATTGTATTCATTCTTTAACTTTTGTCACAACTATTTAACAAATTAATTGACGATTTGGCCACAATAACAAAAACGGAAGCTACAGCGGGGCGAAAAAAGAACCTACCGAGTAGTAGTGTCTAGAAAAATGTTTTCATTTTATTTTTTTGTTTTGTTTTGAATTTTTCAAAAAAAAAAAAGTCATATAGCAACAGCAGTGGCCAAAAGTAGCTTCCATGGTTTAGATCTGCTATGCTGTTGTATTTGGCTCAGTGTATTCTTTTTTTGTTATTAGGAAAAAAAAATATATATTTTTTCAACATAAAAAATAATAATTTTGTGTTTTATATCATTGCCCGGCATATGATGACTGAGGAAAACAAAAAATAAATTATAATAACATATGTAGAAAAATATCGTATCATGAACATTTTTAGTAATATGTGTGTGCATTCGTTCAAATATATTATTAAATTTAATTTTTTTTTGGAAAGTTTTCTACTTTGTCTTAGAATGGGAAATTTCCTACTGCAGTTGGGATTCATTTTGTTCTTTTTTTTTGTTGGATATTTTTGTTCAAAGAATGATTGAGTATTTTTAACAGTAATTTAGTATAAAATCAAATTTTGAATTTTAAGGCTTATTTTTCAATGACTATCAGGTTTTAGATCGTGATTCATTTTAAGAATATTTAAAGAAGAACTGTTTTAGCCAAAACCATGGGTAGGGATATAACTGACTGAAACGGCTGGAGGAAGTGTCTAGAAATTTTGCACGAGGATCGGTCTTTGTGTGTATTACTAATGGAAAGTACTAGAATATCCTAAAAATGTAATATTTTGTATTGGGCAAACGAAATGAGCTAGAATTCTGAAATTTGCAATAAGAGGCACTAGATTCATGTTCCAAAGGTGTAATTGTGGATTCTTAAAGAATATTTTTCTAAGGACCTTTTCGAAGGAAAAATGGCAATATTCCATTCGGCAAATGTTGAAAAATTAGCTCGCGTAAAGCCATTGAAATCCCAAAAATTGCAAGAACTTACACCGCAACAGAAAGAAAATAGACTCAAAAGAGTTATAGAGTTCCTTCGCTTGGCCGAAAGTGGTGAAGAACTGCCGGTTTGGTTTTTTCCGATGAGAAAACATTCGTTGTCTAGCTGTTTGTAAACAAACAAAATGATCGTATGTACTTGCCAAAGAGGTCAGCTAAAAATGTGAACCTTCGGTTGGCCACCAGAACTCAAGCGCCGGCCATGGTGATGGTGAGGGCCGCCATAACAGCCGATGGTTGTTCTCCGCTCGTATTAATCTACCGTGGCAGCAGTATAAATGCCGAATATTATAGCGAAAATATTCTGTAGGGTGTATTAAAGCCTTAGGCACGCAAACATTTTGGCCGCAGACCTTGGACATTCCAAGAATCAATCCGTTGGACTATTGTGTCTGGAGTATTTTGGAAAGCAAGGTTGCACTAAAAAATACCAATGTGTCGATCATTTTAGCAAGCGCTTCGCCGGGAATGGGCCAAAATATCGCAGAGCAACAATCGGGCAGCGTGATGCTATTTCAGACATTTTTTGCTTTCATTCAATAATATATAAAACCCTGTACACTGAAATGCATTGCAAAACCATTTTGGGTAGAGGGAAGTTATTTTCAAAAATGGCGAAGTAGATATTACGGATGGATGTAATACTCGCAAATACCACATTTCATACCGCAAACCCACTTAAATTGTTTTCCTATATCGTACAAGACGTGGACCTGCACAGACAATTTTCTGGCATGGGCTAAAGTATCCATTACGAACTTCAAATGCGAAATTTAAAACAATCCCGGTAAATAATGTCGCTAAAATCATCAAAATACCGAATATCGGGGGGTACGGTATATGGGACCTATACGAAGACGTGGACCTACATGGTCCATTTTCTGTTTTCTGCTGCAGTATCTATTACGA